CCTTTGCCCTGTTCTCTGTGAGCTTCAAAGTGTGTCCGCCGGATTGGTCTCACTTACTGGAGACATCGACATGAGCTGCAGTTTCTTCGTCAGCGATTTGCTGGTGATAGCCCTTCACTAGGCGCTGTACTGTGCAAGCACTGAAATTCAAGCTCGCGAAGCGCTTTTTCAGCTTTTCTATACCTCCCCGGAGTAAACAATCCTTGCCGTCAGACAGCTGGAAGTAGACCGAAACTGTATTCTCCATCGCTCTGAAATGCGAACATCCTGACCTATTTTACGGACTCGAGCGGAGGTTGCAATGTTTTCTTGCGCTGACGGAAGTGTTCGTCGGCGGCAGCTCCGTCAAAAAGACTCAAACGAACTGATCGAAACTAACTTCTGTGATGGTTTGTGCTGCCATGTCGTCGGATGCAATGGTCAATGGTCATGTTCGGATGGTGAATCGGTGGTTCCATGCCGTATGGCACAGGCAGAACACCAAAAAAACAAGTGAGAAGATAAGCGCCAATTTTAACTGGGCGGACCAAGTAGCATAGTTCTGCAATTTTTTCAGCAATGCGAAAAGCATAATTTCACGAAAATATCAGCATAATCTGTCAAGGCCTAATATGCATGGAGAGAGACTGAATACGGCTGCATGATTATCACTCACCACACGAGGATGTCGCTTGAGAACTGTCTGAATTTCAGCACCACATTCACTACTTTCAGCACCACATCCACCACATCCACTGCCACGGCTCGATCCCATGCCAGATCCCGCTGGCGGCATTACGTTGATAGTGATCTTGGGAATGGGTCAGCTGCACATCGCCCTTCCTTCAGCCAATACTACTTCTACTACCATGCAGTAAACGGTGTCAGCTCAGTGTTGTACCAGTCCTTGTACCAGTCCTTCTCACCGGAGTACTGTCAACTCGGTTACTTTCTACCACTGAGATACTGAAGCTAGGAAAGTCTGTAGCTTAGGCTAAGTTAGTTAGTTAGTTCTCTGCCACTTTGCTCGATGTAAGTCACAATGCAGGAACACACATTACTTTACTCGAGGCGCTCTGGTCACTGGTGTATGCAGACACTTGGTTCAAACTCGACTCCGCTACAGCGGAAAGCTATGCTGACACACTGGAAGAAGCTACAGTAGAGTGGAGGCCTTGCTGGAACTGGTTATATTCTTATCCTTGCCCAAGCCTAGGCTTAGATCCCGGATATTCACATCACCACGTCATGTGCACAGCACGATTGGAGACAGCTCACTGAGCAGAAACGTGCCAGGACTGTCGCTGATGTACCCATGACGCATGAGTAGATCTACGTACACTATGTGCAAGTACGTGTAGACGATCGACTTTACCGCCGCAAACTAGGCCTATACCCGAAACGTGCGGCAGTCTTTCAACAGCGAGTGTGACTCTATCATGTCTATGACGATGAGTATGAGCATGACTGGGCTGTAGACTGTAGACAGTGTAGTCCTGGTTGGCCACTTGCACTCGCTTGTCTCTCGCCGTCTCGGCCAGAATACGACATTCTCAATCTCACTCTGGCATTAGTGCTAGACGGGAAAAGCTGTCGCTTTCAACACCGTCTCCCAGTTCAGCTTGCCCCACACAGCCAGTCCCTGCTGTCGCTAGCACGCATGCGCTGTTCCGTGCCCGGCGGCAATCTGTATTGTTTTGATGTGGTTCAGCGTATTCACTCGGCCGGCCGGATGGTGCGCAAAACAATCACGCCACAGTTCCAGCTACAGTCAGTACAGAACTAACTAAGTAACTAACACTCAGAAGCCATCATTACGCTCGTACGAAAAAATTCTAGATGAGAACATGATAGCTAGGGTGTCATCGCATTTTGCCAGATTTTTTAATGGTGTACCGATATACCGGCGTGCGCCGGCTGGGAAGGGCATGTAGTACAGTGCGTATCGGTTATAGTGTGGTCGTATACAAGAATATACTGCTTACAAGAATGAACACTCATTTTTTCATAATCATAACACATATTTTATGTGTATATTTATTCTTACAAGCAGTATTATCGCATAGTAGAATATATCGGCCCTAAGAATGGATTTTGTGTAGCAAAATATGCCAGATTAGTGCAAAGTGTATCGCCTGTAGTAATAACATCTGTGCTCTGTGCTCTGTGCATACTCAATACGATAATATTCAACACAAAAAGAGAGTTATGTCCAAGGGAGCATTGGAGAATCACTTTTTCTGTCCAGTCGGACTCTTTCTTCCGACTTCTCTGGTATCCGCTGCTCCGCAGTCGCCTAGCATGACCGCGAGTCTGATTGATCCGTGTGTACGTGTATCATGTGTACGTGTCCACATGCCAAACGTGCGCGCATACATGTACATGTACATGTATGATGTCACACGTGCATATGATATGTCACACGTGATTTATCGTGTGTAAGAAATATCGGCAATAAGAATCAAATGTCGTTTTTCAAACACCCACGCTATAACCGATACCTACTGTATATCTACGTAGTTTTCTCCGTCATCGCGTCAGGGTAGATCTACCTACTACATGTAACTACAGTGCTGGCAACTGAAATCCGACCCCTGATCAGCTGAGCGCGTACCGCTCAGGAGGTCGGATTTCAGTTGCCAGCACTGTAGGTTTATCAGTTTTCTAAATACTACATGTAGTTTTGAACTAGTATTAGGTTATACTATAATACCATCTGGCATCTACCTACTACATGTAGTATATTATACATAATGTAACATTATTGGTGCAGCCGTGATGGTGTGAGTGCAGTGTGTGAATGTTTTTTTTTCCTTTTTGGGCAAGGTCTCCAGTGCTGGTAATACTAATGCGCGAAGTCAAAAAGATGACATCACCAACTCCTCAACATACAATGACTTGTACAAGTACTGAGTACTGAAGTAGCTAAAATGGCGCATGGCGTATCTGTTTATAGTTATACTTTAAAATTCTTTAGTCAGTTACTTGTAGTAAACAGTGTGCCTAGGCCGTAGTACGTTTCTTGTGCCAAAGTAACCTTAGTTCTGGACCACCACAGGGCACAGGCACAGCAATAGGCATGTACCGAAGATCACTAAACAGCTGGACCAGCACGCTGAGACCTGGCCTGTGGGAATGTTTCAAGTAACGTACGTCACCTGGAGGTTGTCCGTTCTCACAAGTTATTATTATTATTATTTATTCATAAGTACATGACACATTTTAAATGTAAGCCAATACCAGTCGTTGTGCAACGATCCGAGAGAGAAACACACAACAATAATAATACAAATTACCATAATATTTAGTACAAAACAGGGGATGTCTACTGTCTACATGCTCACTTCCACTTTCCAGTACGTGACTCTGCTAGCGCCAAGATCGTTCCTAGAAGTAGTATTTGTAAGTATTTCAATCAACAACAACCT